TGCCCCTGATGGGGGTGATGCATCAGTGAGCACCCACTGCATCCCTGGCTTCCTGCAGTGCGCTTTACCTGCACCATTGCTTTAATCCGCACATCAACCCTCTGGAGTAGGTTCAGGGTTGTTGAAAACTGGGATACATACTTAGTGACCAGATCAGGTATGAACCCAGGTCGGTCGGGCTCCAAAGCCACAGCGTCAGACCACGGCCATGTGCCCTCAGCCATGCCCCAAACCGGGGTGAGGGAGCCAGTTCCCCAGAGGGCCTTTTTCCCATTCATTTCCAGAGGGAAGGCAGAAGCCAGATCACCTAAGAATGAGCTATTCATTCAGTGCGGGTGGGAAGAAGAGAAGGAATCCCTTTCACTGAAAAGAGACAGACTAAAAACTGCCTGGAGCTTGAATCTCAGTGCTAAAATATCTCTGGCTGCAACATCCCAGGTGGGATGCAATCCTTCTGTGGCACCTGCTTCTCTCCCAGCTCATTAGCATTTCCTTGCCATTCCCCAGAGGAGCTCACTGCAGCCAACCTTCCTGGCTAATGACAGCTGCTTAGCAACAGGGAGCGGGTTAATAAAGCCCTGATATTGTTCCCAGCTCCACAGACTCCACCCGTCTCCCATTACAGCTCATCCTCAGCCCAAAGCAACCCGCGGGTTAACAGATCTTTGATCTGTGCTGGGAGAGCCAGGAACCTGGTGACTGAGGTGTGGGGCTGCTCAGGCCTGGCCTGGAGCCTGCCCCCAATGCCTCCTGAGGAGAGGAGACAATTAATTATGAGTCTGAGAACCAAGGTGCCAGGCCAGGGACCTCTCTGGAGATCTTGTAAATCCGCTCTACTACCAAAGGTTAAAATCCAACCTCAGCACCCAATCAGAATAGAGCAAACAGAAGTATAGGCACACCTTGTTTTATTGCACTTTGTTTGCTATATTACGCTTCACAGATGGTACATATTTTTTTTTTAGATATTGCATTTTTTACAAACTGAAGGCCAGACCCTCCACCAGCAAAAAGATTATGTCTTGCTTTATTGTGAGTGGTCTGCAACTGAACCCGCAACATCTCTGAGGCACTGTGGAGGCAGACACACCCAGACCTGCAAGAGGGTAGGGCGGGTCCAGAGAAAACACCAGTACTCATGGGCTGATGTCTAAATTGAGTATGCCTTCCTTAAGCACATACATTATTATAACCAATGCAGAGTTCAAAGGTGAAACCTGGGACAATTTGCTGTTTAACCTTAACATGGAGTTGCCCGCAAGCCAAAGTTAAAAGCACCTTGCCCTCTGGGGGAAGGGGTGGCAGGAGATAATCAGCCACCATCTGGGGTTTCAATAAGCCACAGAGAAAACAAGCAGCATTATTTCAATTCAACAGTAAGTTTACATTAAAGTAAAAGTTTCAAAGGCCATGTCATGAAACAAAATGCAAACCTGACATGACTTGACAAACCATAGAGTGGTAGGTTGGGACCTGCTCTCTAAGGCCCAGACTCACCAACGGGAGGGGGCAGTCACATGGATCCTGATCCTCTGGTCTGGGGTGCAGAGGGGGCTGCCTCAGTCAGAGCGGCACTACAGCCCTGCTCTGTGGTCGGGGACAGCACGCAGAGAACCCCTCCCTGCCAGCCAGGATTCGCCAGCAGAGCTTCCTCATAAAGTCTCCACCTGCGGGGGCCTGACCGGTTCTGGACAGGCAGGTTTAGGAGCCACTGCAGCAAACACACAACCAATGCACATTGCTTGCCAGTCCCGGGAGTCTCACTCTTCCCCGTGGATAAAAGGAACTGGAGTCTGGTGCAACTTTCCTGAGTTTGCCCAGGGCCAAGTCTTGACTCAAGGATTGTTCAGTGCCACTTCTGTGCCTCTCCAGGAAGGGTCTGTGTCCAGTTCAAAAGTCTCTAGTCTAAGAAAATTCAGAGAAGGTCCTCTTGCCCAGGCCCCGCCCTCCTCAGTCACTTCCTAGTCCCTCCTCTACTAAGAACAGAGGGGCCCAGGGCCCCAGCACTCCCCACAGCTCTAGGGAATGTAATGTGGCCACTCCACAGTCAATCCAGTCTCCACAGCCTTCACTCTGTCCGACCCGATCTTTCAGCACCTTCCCTGCACTCCCATGTCTCCCAGAACAAAGCTGAATTCTGGACGTGGCTAGAACAGCAAGACCCAGTAAAAGGCTGAATTTGCTTCAGACTAAAAATGTATTCCTGAGCATTTTTCCAGGGAGTGAAGGAGACTGGCATAGCAGAATATTCAAAAAGCCAGAGCGGTGCAGTTTTCCCTCAATATGTACTTGTTCTTCCCTCTGCCTCCCCCCAGGAATCCCTGATTAGGATTCCACTCTGTGATGCATGTGAATGGCTTGCAGGTTAGTCGCTGCTTTAAAACCAACCTGCTTAAGCCCAGGCTGAGATTTATCTCACTGAACACCAACTCTGACAATGTGTGAGGACTCCTTTTTCAGTGGGTCTCGGATGTCTCGGCCTGAGCTTCACGCTGTGGGCAGCCCCCTCTCCCCTGCACGTCCCCCTCAGCGACTGCGCGCCGAGCCCACGGCAGAGGCAGCAAACTGGCAGAGGCTGGCAGATGTCTTTTGTGTGGCCAATACAATTTTTTGGAAAGGGAAATTAGTTATCAGCATTTAAAAAGTAGGTAATTTTGTATAAAATCCCAGACTTCTGGATTCTCTTAGAGGTCAAACAGAGGGCACAGGAGGCCCGTGCTGGCATTCGCACAGGAGCTGAGCGGTGGCTGCCGCTTCAGACAGGGCGCGCGCTGTCCGGTTCACCCCAGCCCAGCCCCTGCCGTGGCCTGTTGCCTCATAGCTGGACAGCTTCCCGGGCGGACCTTTCTCATCTGACCCTGCAGGCATTTAAGTTTACACTCCTGGACCCAAGACACCTCCAGAGATCCAGCGGAATAGGGTTCCTCTCGCTCCTGGGCTGACTTCAGAACCCTGGCAACTTGGGTCTATTTCATAAACCCTTTTTCTATTTTAGCAACTGAAACTGGTTGAAAGAAGAGAATCATTCCTTTTGAGCATGATACCTTGCCTGCTGGAGAGCCCTGGGCTTTCAAGCAGGAGAAGAAAGCAAAAGCCCCACTGGTTCCTGGGGGTCCCTGGACTGGTTACAGGAGAGCTCATGGTTTCTTCTCACCCTAATTGGCCCGCTGTGGGATGCCTATTGCTTTTCTCCCTGTTTCTCTTTCCCCACTCCCCCGTGGCCACCCACGTGTGGCTCCCATGCACAAGCTGTTTGTGTTAATTTATTTTGTTTTCTGTGTTTGCTGTGGGTGCTCTGGACAAAGCCTAGCACCAAACCATTCAAAACTGGGCGGCCAGCAGAGCCCTTCTGGTGACAACGACAGACTGGCCGACGTCAGGGGAATACAGTACAAGTAGATAGGAGTAGAGTCTTAATATTCTTCAGAGCCACTTTTTGCAGGACTAGCATGCTTTTTCCCTAGCATACGTTCTACCCAAGAAAAGACTCCTCCTTGTAAACCTGGGAATCACTACATCAACTCAAAGAACAAGAGAAACATACTGAAAAGGGAGGTGGTGGGAACTCAAATCCTGCAAACCTGGCTTCAGCCTCAACATCCAAAGGAGGAGGAAAGACAGGCCATTTTCTGAGCTCTTACAATACTGGGAACGCTTACGTGCCTCATCTCGATCCCCACAATTCCTTGGGGTGGGAATCCTCACTCTGTTTTTAGAGGAGCAAAGTGAGGGTGACAGATGTTAAGAAACTTGTCCAGGGCGACTTCGGAAATAAGCAAAGCACCAGGGTTTGTGTGAATCCTCAGTCTGTCCCTCGGGCTCTGCTCACAGGTCGCCTCTCCCCGCTCGTCCTCCCATATCTCTGCTTTACCTTTCTTCATAGCTACTTTCATACCTGTTATTGCATGATACATATGTGTGTATTCATTTTCTGTATGTCTCCCCACAGGACATAAGCCTCTGTGGCAGAGGCTGGCCCCCCCCCCCCCCCCCCCCCCCCGTTACTGCTGTTTCCCTGCCTGGAGAAGAGCACCTGGCGCCTGGTGGACAATCAGTCTTTAGGGCTGGACTGACTGATGGAAAAGGCCGCGCTCTCTGCCTCACTGTGCTACTGTCGAAAAGCATCCCCTCCCTACCTGCTCTTTCCTTTCCCTCAGAAATGCACAATCTCCCTCCTAACCCCAATCTCAGAGGTCATGTAAAACAGTGTAGAGATGGCAAGTGGTTCTGTATCCCCTCAGAACAGGAGTTGTAAGGAAAGGTAAATCCATGAAAATCCAAGAAAACTCTGCTGTGTGTAGAGACAGAGTTGCTCCTACAAAGGCAAAACTGTTCATGTTGAGGGGGAAGTGATGGTTTATTACGGACTTTCTCCCTTCTAAGGCGGGGAGGTTTTGGCCATCCCTCCTATCCTACACTCATGTTGTTTTGCATCCAGTGAAGTGCTTGGAGAGTTGGGATGCTGAAGCAACACAGGTGGGACTAATGAGAAAGTAGATGTGGCACAGAAAGCGTTCAAAGAGCACAAAGCCTTCCCCATAGTTAATGTAAGGATAAACCAGAGCAGTGGTTCCTAAGCCCTAATTACCTAGGACACTACTTCCTAAAGTGTGGTCCCTGGACCAGCAGCATCAGTATCATATGCAAATTTGTTAGAAATGCAAATTCTCAGGCCCATCCCAGACCTACCAGAACCACAAACTCCAGTGTTGGCACCCAGAGATCCGTTTTAATAAGACTTTCAAGTCACTCTGTTGTATGCTAAAATTTGAACACTAATGTTTTAGGGGGCTAAACAGGTATAGATCTCTGGCTCCTGAAGGTCCTTAATTCAGTAGGTCTGGGATGGGGCCCAGGGAGATTTCAAAAGCTTTCGAGTTGATGCTGACTTGCACCTATATTTAAAAACTATGAAACCTGAGGTCTCCTCTCTCTCTGGCCCCAGGACAGTGTCTTCAGTTTTAAACCCATCTCCCACTGTCCCCCAGTCACTCACTCACCACACAGAGCAATGATGTGGCTGCTATCTTCGTGAACAAACTTCCTGGTGACAGCCTCCTCCATGATTTGTTTCACCTGTTGACAAAGGGCAGCATCGTCACTTTTTCCCCCTGATCAAAGGCCTGTGGCCAAGTAGATAGCCTGGCTCTACCCTGCTGAGTTCAGACACTGGCAGAGTAGATCCTAGGTTGGGAGGGGTGGGGAAGCAAAATCTATTCAGCACAGATAGCTCTAAGCATCTTGGAAAGGCAACCAGAAAAAGATACACCGTAAACCCACCAACCAATCAATGCAGATGTTGCAGCCCAGGAGAAAGTGCCTGCTGTGGAGAACAGGGAAAGGATGTTGTTTGCTCATCTGTACTTAGCTGGAGAAGGGCTTCTGGGCAGACACACTGTCCTTTAGGGACAAACTGTCTCAGTACAGGCTAAAGATAAACAGCCCAGCCCTCCTTTTCTTTCCCTTCTCTGAGGTTAGGGGTAGGTCCATCCAGGCCTCAGGGACATTCTCCATGTGCTTGCAAGCCCAGCTTTCTTTCTGTCTAGGGAACACCCTGATGTTTGGGCTTCTACCCAGACAAAATCTCCCAAATACCTTGTAAAGTAAGCAGTTACATCTTAAAAAAAAAAAAGAAGAAGAAGAAAACACTTAAAAACACACATACATATAACGTTCTTTATTGGCATGTAGTAAGCATATAGAAAAGGGTATATATCATAATTATACAACCCGATGAATTTTCAAACTGCACACACCTGTGAAACCAGCATCTGGGTCTAGAAATGGAACACATGACCTGCACCCCTCACTCTATCAAGTTTCCTTCCAGTCACTACTCCCCTCAAGGGTACCCGCTATCCTGACTTCTAACATCACAGAGTAATTTTGTGGGTTTTTGTACTTTTACTAGATGGAATCACTCAGTGTAGTATTTTGTGACCATGCTTCTTTTGCTCCCCAGTGTGATTGTGAGGTTGGTTCCTGTTGTGCGTGGTTGTGCATTGTTCATTCTCCATTGTGTGAACACACCACAAATGACTGGCATTTGGGTAGTTTCCAGTTTGGGGCTGTCATAAATAGTGATGCCATGAACATTTTGGACATGTCTTTGGGGGAACACAGGTGCTCATTTCTTTGGATTTATATTTTTAGGCAAGGAATTTCTGATGCATTATTTCCCACTTCAATAGACTGCCAAATTGTTTCAAAAGTGGTTGTACCAATCTACAGTCCATCAGCAGTATATGAGGTTCTAGGTGCTCCCAACATTTAAGCCAAGCACTCTTGATGTCTGCGGGGAACCTGCCAGGAGACAGATACTAATCCTGGAGATCAGAGGAGCGGATTACCTCAAGCCCAGTGTAAAATCTTCCAGATAAAGTAAGCTCCGGGCAGAGCTGCGCTTTGCCATTCTTTTTGGACAAGGCATGAAATGTCCTGATGCTGCCCTTACTCCAAAGTCCCTCACCTAGGGCTGTACTGGTAGAAGTGTAGTAGAGTTTCTAAAGCCTGGGGAGTAGGGAGGTAAGAGGTGAAGGCTTCTCCTTGTTGGGAACTGCTCATGGTTAGTGGTTAGGTAAACGGGGTTCAGACCAATCCTGTGCTCTAAAAAAAAACCTCTTAAAAAGTGCCCTGGCTGGTGTGGCTCAGTGGATTGAGCACTGGCCTGCAAACCAAAAGGTTGCTGGTTCGATTCCCAGTCAGGGCACATGCTTGGGTTGCAGTCCAGGTCCCTGGTTTCTCCCTTCCTTCTCCCCTCTCTGAAAATAAATAAATAGAATCTTTAAAAACAAAAAACAACAACTCTTAAAAGCTTCCTAGCTTACTTACCAATGGGTGTTTGCATTAAACAGAGCATAACATCACAGCTCAAAGACCTGTAGGCATCTAAAGCAGGCCAGTAGGACAGATTTTTAGGTTAGGAGGACCTACAGATGCCCTAGAATTTGGATACCAGAGGCCCATTGTGAAAAACCAGACTTGCCTACAATTATCCCCACTGTCTCTGTTTGTGAGAGAAGAAAGGATGTGTCTCTCTTGAAATCGAGTACTCAAAGGGGAAGGGAACTAAGTTCAAAGCAGGACAACTTTTGTCAGGTAACATACATAGCTGTGGCATATTCTGGACATCCTCACATTTACTTAAAAGTCATTCTTGGAGTTATACAAACAGCCTTCTAGGTACTGAGAAAAGAATCATTGTCTTCTCAAAAATCTTTCCTATCATCTCTGACCAACCCCAAATTTGGATCACACCAACGATCCTAGCACCTCTGTCCATAGTTTGGGTATGGCTACTTTTTTACTATTGCTTATATTGTTCATATAAGTCTCTGTCACTAGACTACTTTTTTTGTTTCCTGAGCATAATCACTGAGATTTGAGAGTCCTCTTTTCTTTGGCAAGACCAGAGTTGGTGCTTAAGTGCTGACTTGATATACGCCTGGCCTAAAAAACTTTTTCTTGGCCACTTCACAGCAAAGGCACAATGGAGCTTCTCACACAGCTGAAAAGGTGATGGCTTCAACCACTTCTTTGTCAATGAGAATGAAAGGAACAAATGCTAGGGCACAATAACCAGGCCACAGTTAATGTAGGAGAAACATCTAGAGTCTTCCAGGATTTTATTAGAGCTCTGAGTCTTCTCCAGTCCTGAAACTCTAGGAACCATTATGGTAAAATTTTATATGTGAGGTAGATATAATTATCCCTATTTCAGAAATGAAGAAATTAAGATTCAGAGAGGTTAAGTAACTTGTTCAAGATCACACAGAGCTAGGTCCAGACAATTCTAAAATGTATGCATTTCCATCAGACTTTGGTAGTTTTCAAGATCATTAGATTTAGTTGCCGAATAGTCATTGAGTGCCTACTGTGTACCAGGCCCTGGATACAAAGTAGAGGACAAAAACAGACGGTTTTCCTGCCTTCATGGAATGTGCACATCTGGCAGACACAGAGGTAGGTCAGAGTTGTTCATGGCTCCGGAGGCCCAATCTATTCTAATCCACTCTGCGGGTTTGAGCTTTCCAGCTCTCACAAGGGGGTGAGTCATGCCTACAGGCACCCCCCACCAAATTGGAATGGGCCTTAGGGCAGGGTGAAGGTAAAGGATGCTAGTAGAGAGAAGGACTATTTTCTCTTTCTGACATGCGGGGAGGGCTGCTCCTCAAAAAGGGGGAAAAAAATCTGAGTCTGAAAAACAATTATCAAACTCGCCCCCCACAGCACCGTCTCTGGGTAATGAGGTGGGTGTGGATTGAGAAGCAGTGAGGTGTGCGGCGAACCCTCGGGCAGCTGCCACTCACTTCCCAGAGGGATACCAGAGTGGGGTATAGCGCCCAGAGGAGCTAAGTCCCCAGATCGCGGGTTCCCCGCTCTAGGAGGCCCGCGCGGGGCCCCGCCCCCTCCCCAGTCCGCGCGGGCAATGAATGAGCAGCCTCAGTTCTCCAGAAATCGCCGACACCCCTCCCCCGACCTCGGTCTCCCAGCGCAGCTGCCGTCACAGGGCGGGGAGCTGCAGGATCTCCGAGCAAACAAGCCCGGGAGCACCGGCCTAGCCCCTCGGGCAGAGGGGCGCTAACCCCAGATTCTGGAAAGGAAAAGGAGCCGCAGCTTGTCCAGGACCCCGCCCCCGCCCGGGGTCCGCGAACGCCCGGGCTAGACCGTGGGCGCGGACCTTTGCACCCCCTGGGCTGCTCGAGGAGGGACGCCAGCCCCTGGGGGTCCTTGCCCAGACTTTACCTCCTTTTTCACGTTCCACAGCAGTTTCTCTTTGACTGCGTGCTCCGCGCTGCCCATGATGCTGTGGGTGGCGGAGAGGCTGCGCCGAGCGGCCCCTTAAACCCCCCACGCGCCCTCCCCGCCTCCGCGCCTCTCGGCTCAGCGCCCCACGCGCAAGGCGGAGACCTCGCCCGCTGCGCTCCCTGCCCGCCACTGCCGCCGCAGCCACTGCCCGGTGCTCGGCTCCGCAGCCATCTTCAGAGCCCAGTACAGACGTCAGGCGGCTGGCCCGGCCCCTTCCCACAGCCGGAGGCGGGGGGTGCGCTCAGCGACCCGGGGCTGCCGCCCGGGCGCGCGCCACGCCGGCCGCTGTCATGGCAACGCGCCGGCTCCAGTCCCCAGGGCGCGAACCCGCATTGTGAGCGCCTGCAGTCAGACCTGCACTACGACCCGCGGGGAGGCGAGGCGCGCCCTGGACCCTGCGTCTGGCTGAGGAGAAAGTTGCTCGCGCGGGAGCTGGCCTCAAGCCGGCTAGGTGCCCCAGTGATTTCTACCCGCTCGTTTTCCGACGGGAATGTCCGGAAACCCCGTGCCCCTCGATTCTGATCATGGGGAAGACAATGGTCCTCTGGCTGAAATGCCAGAGCTCCATCGTTAGTGTTAGCCTCCTGCCCTCAGTTGCCCATTGTTGGTAGAGAAGTGGGAGCACAGAAGATCTGAACTTAAAGAGGCTGGCCAGCCTCCCTGCTCCGTAGTGGTCGTCAACCCCAGTCCCGTCTTGCAGCTATGTGGGAGGGGTGGGAGCAAGTTGGGGTAACCCGGACCCGCGGGAACTTGTACAGAACCCATGAAGGTTAAAGAAGCGTTTTCCACGCTATTTGCCTTTGGCAGCCCCCACAAGGAAAATGAAGGTGAGAAAAGGTTGCTTAAAATGACAAAGAACACTTGCTACTGCAAACTGAGGCGCGGCGAATAAAAAACTAGGTGAGAGAAGGGGCTCAGCCCTTTTCCGCACGAATGGAGAATCTTACATTCAACATCTTCCTAAGTGATGCAACTTGATAGAGCAAAAACTGAAAATACAGGGGAGCAAAACAGCCCTCCGGGGCTAAAAGCGCAAACTTAACATCTACATCCAGTGTTTTAAAGCCCTTAACCGCAGAGAGCCGCGTGGGAAAAGTTTACTAAGCGGTTTTGTGGAGACTCGGTAGCGGCGCTCTGACAGGCTGGAGGGAAGGACCCTCGCGAGAAGACGAGCGGATCCAGACACGGGGAGGACACGCCCCAAGGAGGGGACCGGAAGTGCTCCGCCAGACCGGAAGTAGGCTGACTTGGGACACGTGAGCGGCAGCATGGCAGCCCATCGCTCTGGCCCGCTTAAGCAGCAGAATAAAGCTCATAAAGGCGGGCGGCATCGGGGTCGAGGATCCGCGCAGCGGGACGGCAAGGGTGAGAATGTAGGGTTGGTGGAAGATGGGCTGCTTAGTCAATTTTAATTGCTTTTCTCCCTGCGGAGACTCAGCTTCTACCTCCGGCCTGGACCCAGCCTAAAGGCTCTAGATGGGTGGGAAGAGGTCCCCTTTCTTGACCTTCTCCTGGTGCCCTGCACAAAAGCCCTTTATGATCATCCTCCAGGCCGTCTAGCACTGAAAAGCCTAAGTAAGAAGGTGAGAAAGGAGCTCAGCAGAGTGGACCAGAGGCACCGTGCCAGCCAGCTCCGAAAGCAGAAGAAGGAGGCGGTGAGAGGAGCAGGGATTGGGGATGATGTGGCTTCACAATCGTTATAGGCGGATATTGCTTCAAACTAGAAAATGTGACTCTGGGAAGGGGCCGGAGATGGGGAATAACCCCAGAGCACATCTCAATGTGCAGTTCTAGACTCGTGTTAGAGCATTCTTTGCTCTTGTCCGAGCTCCTGTCCACCTCTTTGATATACACGTCGCGTTTTACAACAGAGATGTGGGGCCGTGAGTGATAGGTCATCGTACTGTTGGAAAGGCAATACTAGAACGAAGTGCTGCAACATTGAGATGTTCTGTGTTCCTTTGTATTTTCAGGTTCTGGCAGAGAAGAGACAGCTGGGCAGCAAGGATGGCCCTCCTCATCAGGTACTGGTGGTGCCCCTACATAACAGGATTTCCCTGCCAGAGGCCTTTCGGCTGCTTCAGGATAGGGACACTGGAACAGTACACTTGAATGAATGGGGAAGCACCCACAGCTTCATGCTGTTAAGTTCTGCCTTGAAACATCGGTGGTTTTTCACATCTGCAAGCCCAGGTTAGAGTGTACAATATTTTCTATCATTATGTATTGAGTAGTGGTAATATTTTTTTGTTAACATGTGCTGGTACTGACCACCTCTTCCTACTGACTTTGTCTTCTCTCTCTAGGGGATCTGCACACTGTACTTGACTTGGCTAAAGTAGCCGATACCATCCTGTTCCTCCTTGATCCACTAGAAGGCTGGGACAGTACTGGGGATTATTGCCTTTCCTGCCTCTTTGCTCAGGGCCTTCCCACTTATAGTAAGTGATTTGGGGATAATGGAGGCCATGGAAGAAGTGAATTAGCATTTATTGTGCACCTATAATTTGTGTCAAGGTGCTTTAAAAAAAAATCTTTTTTCAATTACAGTTTACATTCAACATTATTTTGTACAAAGTGCCTTTTTATTTCTGGACTGCCCTTTGCCCCGAGGAAGAATATAAAGTTTGGTTTTACTGTGTAATTTCTTTAAAGTAGCTGAGTGTTGGGTGTCCCGGTGATCTCCAGGCTCATAACTGTTAGCTTTTTTGGGAACTTGTTTGTGAACTTGCTTGGGGGGATTTTCATGTGATGAAGCACGAGATCATCAAGCTCTTTTCTCTTTTGCTCACAGCACTGGCAGTCCAGGGGATTTCTGGCCTCCCACCAAAGAAACAAATAGATGCCAGAAAGAAGCTAAGTAAAGTTGTGGAGAAGCGCTTTCCAGATGAGAAACTCCTTTTATTAGACACCCAACAGGAGGCAGGGATGCTGCTCAGGCAGTTGTCTAACCAAAGGCAACGGCATCTTGCCTTTCGAGATCGGCGAGCCTACCTTTTTGCTCATGATGCTCACTTTGTGCCTAATGAAGAGAATAACTTGGTGGGGACCTTGAAAATCTCAGGCTATGTTCGTGGACAGACTATGGATGTAAATAGTTTGCTTCATATCATTGGACATGGTGATTTCCAGATGAAACAGATAGATGCCCCTATGGACCCTTTCCCTTTAAATCCTAGAGTGATCAAATCCCAAAATAACCCAGGCATGGCAATGGAGGTAAGATTGATATTCTTAAAAACTGTATTGTTGATTCATGTATAAGCTGGTATAGGATAGGAAGTAACTTCAGAGAAGGTAGTCTGCATGCCTAGACAAATACCCCAGTCCCTGGAGGTGACTGCTAGTGTGAAATAGGACACTAGTCAACTACTAATATATTGCTATGTTACATGTTTATTTGTCACTCTGTAGTTGCTTTATGCAGCAGTTGGCTCTGAGTTTATAGAAGACACAAGATGCAGTATCTTTTCTCAGACAATTAGATCAGGGGGAAAATGGCAAACACACTTGAAGTAAAGATTGAGAAAGTTTGGGTGAGGTACAGACCTGTCGTGGGAGTTGAGAAAGTAAACTAACAGACTTCACAGATGTCAAACTTCAGCCAGGTGTTGAGAAGAATGAGTGAGATTTATGAGATTTAGAGAGATGAAAGACTTCCCTGGAATGTAAAGATACCATGAACCTAGCATAATGATAGATCAAAAGGATTTCTTTGAACTCTGAAGAAATCAGCTTGATAGAGTAAGGTATGTGATAAATGGATAGGAGTGGGGCTGGATTATGAAAAACCTCGAGCCAAGCAGAGGTGTCGAGTAGACTTAAAATGCTAGGAAATAGAACCGTTTGCAAAAACTCAGCAAGTTTTGCCTTTCTGTTTCTTTTTATTTCATTTATCTTCTTTTTGGAGACTATGTTAATTTTGGATATTTCTGGTTACTATGTTAGACTTAGATTTTTGGTTAATATTTGACTGACCATCTCCTGCTTTTGGTTTTTAGATTTGTACTACAGATGCTGTAACTGATATGGAGGAAGACATTAAGGTCTTAGTGAAAGCAGACCCTGATAGACAAGAGTCTTTGCAAACAGAAGTTATCCCAGATCCAATGGAAGGGGAGCAAACCTGGCCCACTGAGGAGGAACTGAGGGAGGCAAATGGTTGGTAGTGGCAAGCTTGTTTGTACAGTAGTTCATGCGGCCTGGAATTGTGGGTTTTGCCTAGCTGCTCATAATCAGGTCCAAATAATGTAGAGTGGGATGAGGATGTATTTGGAGGTCTGTCTCTTCTTACCCTCAAATGTTACGACGTTTGTATTAAGCAAACATTGGACATAACTTTGCTCCATTTCTCAAAATCACTTGTTATTGTTTTCTAATGAACAGATAAACAACTTTGGATTCATTACAAGGTTTATTTAGTTGTGTAAGTATTGCTATTTTTGAGGCAGCTGCCTTAAATTTGGAAGAAGTAGACTCTTTTGCTCGTAGTGTCTGCTAGAGTTTCTAGGGCCTTGCTTAGGTGAAAAATACCCAAAGTAATAGAGGAAAGGAGATATCTAATTACTCGTTTGGGCTTTTCAGACTTCTTGAAGGAAAAGTCCAAGGTGGTAAAGAAGGTTCCCAAAGGAACATCCAGTTACCAAGCTGAATGGATTTTGGATGAGGATGGCGAAAGTGGGGGGGAAGGAGATGAGTATGATGGTATAGAACATGAGGATTTCATGGAAGAGGAATCTCAGGTAAGAAAATGGTCCCATAGACCACTTCTGTGTACAGCCCCAAATGCAAGGCAAAGTGCAGTCCTAACTTTGAGATGTGTGTATGTGGTCAGTTTTTGAAGAATGACTTTGTAGTTGTGGGAGTGAGACTTACTTTATAACTGAGTCTCTTAGAATTGATAAAGTTTGGACTAGGTGTCTAATAAAGTTATTTTATTTGTAGCTTCATGGCTTTTAGGGTAGAGATAGGTGTGGGTTTTTTTCTGAAACTGT